TGAGCTAGTTTTCATGAATGTCAAGAATGAAAGAAACAACTCACCAATGTCTTCTCCATTTCTGACTTCACTCTACTTCACTGAAATCTGATCCCTTGGTCACTTACAATCTCTTTTATAAGCTCCAACATGTATCGACCTCTCTGTTTGTCAGTGATCGAGTTCAATAGATTTTATGTCACGGGTTGATTAACACGTTTGACAAGATGACCTCCCACTGAGTGATCCATATCACGGTGACAATCGACTCACAGTCATATTTTGTGGTCGACCTCAACTGACGCGTTATAATATTGATTTACATAGTGAATCACGTTTTTCATAATAGGTGTTAAAATGACTAAGTTTGACTGAGTGTGATATGAGAAAGACACTATTCAGGATTGCTCGTAGGATTTAAAATTGTGTTTTGTTCAATGATGGTATTAATAAGGTTTTATCATTAGTACTGAATTTGTTCAATGATGAGTATTGTATTGTGAAGTGCTTGGACTACGTTTTATTAAGTGGCGGAGGTGGACTCCTTAAATCTCTGTCATTCTGTTGTCTGTTCACCTGGGAAATTGACATACATGGAGCAACGTCACAAGTTATGATCGTGACAGTCGAAATCATGGATACAACTGATGTTGTGGTTTCTTCCAGGTAATCTTCCGCATTACGCACTAGTTCACTGTTTTTTGCATCGACGCTCCATATTCTGCGAACGCCAACTAGAGTTCGCTTTCACAATACAATTCTCAAGATATTAAGTCAACAGATGACTCTCGAATTACAATTGACAGAGATGATTTCATGGTTTACGGCATAGTTTCTCCTCCAAGGAAAGAGAGAGAGGGATTTGTGCAGTATTCAGTGCGTGGGCCGAGGATGAAATGGAGGAGATTATGTGGTGACTAGGCGACAGATTATTGAAAATCAGCTAAGGAGGGCGGAAGGAAATGTGGCAGAGTGGAGATGTGTTGTTGATGTTGTTGTTTCTCTGACTTGGGTAGTTAATTTGCGTAGCTTTCATCGCCCTACTAGTCGACATCTTCAGCGCATTCTTCGATTTGAGGAAGTGAGCTTTTAGATTTCTCCACGGGTGACCTTGGACCTCGTGATTGGTTGTTTTTGTGTGTTTTCACACCTTCTAGGCAGCTACTTGTTTTGGAGCTGATTGTTTCTTTGACTTGAAATTTGACCCTGTGTTTGTGTGAGGTTAATTTCTTAGCGTTTGATAAATTTTGTCTATTTTGATGTGTATATTTATTGATGATTCACTAGGATACAAGGCGTCTTAAAATTATCTAGCATTCTTGTTGTTTGCTCTGTCTATTATTTGAACCTTGTCCCAGTCAAATTGAAGTCCACGGTTGTCTATATGCAGTGAGTGATATGAAGGAGTGGATGTTATATCTTTTGACGGCTAGCTTATGTTCGTGGATACAAAGACGAACGAGACGTCCACTTAAGCCAACGTAGCGTTTTTCGCAGTTGTTGCAATTTATTTTGTAAATGATGTTGGTTTTATCTTCTTTCATTGTTGAGTCTTTTGTTTAACATAGAATCGAGTAAAGTGATTTTGTGGGTTTTTGCGAGACGTCAATTCCTAAAGGTTTGAAGAGTCTTGTAGTGATTTCTGAGATGTCCTTTCTACATGGTAGGATGATTTTCTTCGTGCTTTCCTTGGGGGCGTTAGATTTGGTAGGTTTACTTGGGGGCAGATGTCTTTTGATGGAATTCCGTGGATATCCATTCTTTTGGAAGACGTCTTTGAGGTATCTTTCTTCAATTTTCCTTAAGGTGGAAGGGTTGCAATGAGTCCTGGCCTCCCTTGAATAGTGTTTGTATGCATTACGTTTTGTGTGTTATTGGGTTGTTGCTGTTGTAATTCAGGATTTGGTCTGGGTGAGTTGATTTCCCATAAACTTGAGTTTCTAACTCCCCTGTGGTTGTTCGCTTGACTAATACGTCCAAAAATGGAATTTTGTTCTCGGATTCCTCTTCTCTTGTGAATTTGATGAAGACGGTGTATATTAAGTTGAGTGAGTTTCATCCAACTCGTTTCTTTTGATTATTATAAATGTGTTATTTACAAAATGTATCCAAATTTCGGGTTTAATCTTTGGTAGGCTTATGTTTTTTAGCTTTTGCATCACTGCTGCTACAATCAGACGAGTGTTCCTCTGACTTGTTCATATGTTTGGCCTAAATGAGCTGAAGATGTCGATGAAAGCTCCGCAAATTTACTTCCTAGCTTGGAGAACACAATCACATCCAGATCATCCACTCGAGATAAAAATCTCTCCATTATATCTAAATATCAAGAGGAGATGTGTTGTCGAAGCCTTATTATATTCCACTCGGTACCTGATGGAACAATAATGATATAAGTATAGCGCACAGATTTAAACTAAGTGAGTTTGGAGTGTTTATTAATTATTATTATATTCTTTAGTTCCTAGAGGAACATAGGGCTTCAGCTGCGCGCCTCCATTGCCTTCGGTTTTCTCCCAAATTTTTCACCCCGCTCCAAGTCTGCCCACATGCTTTCATTTCCTCTTCACATCACCTCCTTCAAATCACTATAGAACGACCAACTCGCCGCTTCCCTTTCGGATTCCACTCGAGCGACGGCTTGTCTAGTGATGTCACTTGATGGTTTCCTCAGAGTATGGCAATCCATCTCCATTTCTTCCTACCTATTTGTTTCACAATCGGTTCCTGCTGCGTTGATTCACTCATTGCCAGAGATCCCTGTTGCTGATCTTTTCTGGCCGGCCATCTGATCTTGAGTATTGATCGAAGACAACTGTTAATGAAGGTCTGAAGTTTGTTTGAGGTGCTCTTTGTGACTGGCTAAGTTTCTGATCCGTATAGTAGCATTGACTAACTTCACATTGGAGTTCAAATTGCCTGTTGTCTGTCGCATTATCCAATCCACTGCAATCAGGAAAATCATTAGTGATAGTAGACAGCCTTGTCTCACTCTCGTCTTCACTTCGAAGGCTCCCGTAAGTTTCCCGTTGTGGATTACTTGGCATGCAGCATTGTCGTATAACTGTTGCATGAGATGTATCATTGTCAATGGCACCCTTTGGTAGTAGCGAAGTAGTTGCCAAATCACCTCTTTATTGACGCTGTCGAAGGCCTTTTCAAAGTCGATGAAATTGAGATAGAGAGGTGACTGGCATTCTAAGGCTTGTTCAACGATGATCCGTAGAGTGGCGATTCGATCAATACATGATTTGTTTCCCTGAATCCAGCCTGTTCCGGTCTAAGGTTTTCATCCAGCTCGGCGTGTTTGATTGTCTCCAGGATGATTCGGCTTAGTATTTTGCCTGGAATGGACAAGAGCATAATTCCGCGCCAGGTTTTACATTGACTTAAGTCTCCTTTCTTTGGTAGTTTGAATAAGTATCCTTTCTTCCAAGGAGTGTTTATTTGAAACAATTTAACGAAAGCAAGGTAATAACGATTTCTGACAAGAGCAGCCTTCAGGATTTGATTAAAGTAAAAGGACAGCAAATTCAGATAGATGTTATGGGAACATATGAACCTATGAGACAAATGAGTACTAACCAAGCATTTGAAATGATATTGCTTGATATGTTCTCGGCTACACTAAGTGCCAGTGTTAGCGGAAAAATAAATTATCAAACTGAAATGACATAGCAAGCATTTGTTCGGATGTATGAATTTGTAGGTCATCGAAAAGTGACGCTTAAACTGTCAATGGCTGAGTAGCAGTTCATAGATTCCACGCATGTTGTGCTGATACATCAAGTGCAGTTTTGGTGTTCGCTAGCCACGCACTGTTTCATGCACTAAAGTAGAGTTCTGCAGCAGAAAATAGGGGTGTTTTGTGGACATAGACGAGACGAACATATTCACTTTCCCAGTTAATTCAACAATAACACCTACCACAAATATCACAATTGGTTGATTACAACAAGAGACCCTCCACGGGAGTAAACAGGACGGTTGTTATGTTCACAGGTTTTCACTTTTACCACTGGACAATATTCCAGAGTTTTTTATTAGCAGCATGCTAACTTGATGGCGAATTACGTAGAAGGTCATTTTGAGTAAATGCCCTACAGTAAAATACATTTTTACCTTTCCGTCACTAGAAATCTGACAATTCTCCTGTAGGAAGGAAATAAATCAAGAAGTCGAAATGAAAAATGAAGTTTATGAGGCTTATTCAGCATAAACAGAGACTGATACCCAGTGGTTTAGGATAGCCTTTATTGAGAGAATATAGAGAAAGCTAAGTAGTGGTTATTTCATAGGTCAAACATCACGAATGATAGGAAATATTGAATTGAATTCTTGATTTTCCCGTCGATTGATTGGACCGAAGTGCTCGGTCTCAGGTTGACATGTCGGCTTCTTGTGCAGATGCTTCGACGATGTCTGGGTATTGAATTAGTATACAATTGGTGGATGGTGGCTAGCATTGGAATCCAGGATAAAGCGCATTTCGTTCTATTTGGGACTCGTCAGCTGGATGTACCTGCATTTCTCAGTGAGTGATTATGTTCCCATTGAGGCTCGAACCCAGTGCCCATAGTTTCAAACGCCAAAGCGTTATCTACTAGACCACTTGGAAATATTGTTGAGGATCACGAAGTGTGGAGGATTGAATTGATAGATTAGAAAAGATGTATTGACGGTGAAGTGTCAAGGTCATCTGAAGAACTTGGTGTCGATGAGGTGAGGATGACAATGTATCAGCTCAGACTAGTGAAATGACATGCAGAAGTAATTCTGCCCTAATAGTGTACTCAATATCTTGAGGATTATATTGTGAAAGCGAACTCTACTTAGCGGTTGCATAATATGGCGTGTTGATGCAAAAATCAGTGAACTAGTGCCTATTGCAGAAGATTACCTGGGGAAAATCGCATTGTCAGTTGTACTATAAAAGACTGAATATATTCATGCATCAAAATAGAAGGAAAATATAATAGGTGAAGCAACAAACTGAGTAACCTGGTCAAAATACACGAATTATGAGTGATTATGTACAATTGGAAAATGTCTTACTTATATCACACTCAGTCAAACTTAGTCATTTTAACACCTATTATGAAAAACGTGATTCACTATGTAAATCAATATTATAACGCGTCAGTTGAGGTCGACCACAAAATATGACTGTGAGTCGATTGTCACCGTGATATGGATCACTCAGTGGGAGGTCATCTTGTCAAACGTGTTAATCAACCCGTGACATAAAATCTATTGAACTCGATCACTGACAAACAGAGAGGTCGATACATGTTGGAGCTTATAAAAGAGATTGTAAGTGACCAAGGGATCAGATTTCAGTGAAGTAGAGTGAAGTCAGAAATGGAGAAGACATTGGTGAGTTGTTTCTTTCATTCTTGACATTCATGAAAACTAGCTCACTAATTAACTAACTAACTAAGTGACTAACTAATTCACGTGTATTCATGTGTCTCCTCTTTCTGTCTCCACCACAGATCGCATTGTTGGTGTTCACACTCGCTGTCACCTATCCGAATGTAGTTGATTGTGACAAAGGTGAGTATTTCACTAATAAGCCTTCTTCACTGTTCATGCAATATAATGTCAGTTGGAGGTGTGTCGATGTGACAAGCACACGAGTTTTGGAATTATTCAGCAGTTGATAGAGTCGTTTTATATCGAAGTGTGATAACTATTCCTTGGCTAACCATGCAGCTCATTGAGTGACCGATTGATCTCACCACACAAACTTCACTTCTCGCCTGTTTTTCTTTTGTTTTGTTTCAGGTGCCGCCGCTGCTGGTGCACCTGCCGCCCCAGCCGCCGCCGCACCCAGTGGTGGAGCAGATGCAGGTAAACCTGGCGCTCCCGCTCCTGCCTCTGCTCCCGTCGCTGCTCCAGCGGCCCCCTCAGGTGAGTTAATCTCTGATCCATATATTTCACCACTTTACGTATGTCGAATGTTTCTCCCGTGCGAGATCATATGTCGTCATGTTCAGGGACTCGACGAACATCGCAGGATATCCACACCCTCATCCCTACATCGTCTTCATCGCAATCAACTGACTGTACACACAGGTTACTTAAGGAATGCGATCATTTCTCAATGATGACCACACGGTTGTTATCCCTCTGGACGTCGATCAATCCGGAATATATCGTTTGTATATCATCGCTCGCAGCTGAAACATGTTCATCACTTTTCAATTCGGTCGGTCGTTTATGTTTTTGTGCGCTACAAAATATTACACATACACATGGAGATAAGCTATACACTGCAAAGACTACAAGGGGACACGACTTACTGAGTTCTTTCAAATGAATGAAACGGAGGATGCAGTGTTGTCATTTGGCCATGTCAATTTTCGGGTCATGTACTGATATTCTCAGAGAATTATCAATCGTACCAGCAGAGATATTTGTTAAAATTGACCTGTGTGAATATTTGACAGTTTGTGCGACTCAGATAGTTGAATCCTTCTACAGTCGCCACAAATCAATAGTTGCTCCGGAATCACCACAATATTAACACCATAATAATAGTTCTATGTCATGTGTATTATGAAGTTTCTTCCCTCACTGTTTGCAGATTTGGAGAAGTGGTGTGTTTCGACTATACCCACACAATGAACATTAGTAATTTCATCCTGTCATATTTCACAGGTAAAAAGGATGCTTCTCCTAAGAAGGCCGCCGCGCCCGCCCCTGCCGCTGCTGGTGGCAAACCACCAAGTGGACCAGTGAAGAAGCCATCAGCTGGAAGTAAATCACCGTCGAAGCCATATCGTAAGTTCACTCTCTTCTCACTGTTACAATCACAATATCAATAACAATACTATTATTTTTTGTGTTAATACTTCTTCTACTATTGAGAACTAGGAAGACTATTGCAATTTCGATTCTGTGAATTCAGCTTGTTTATTTCTCCACACACACTCACGCAGGCAGTCACGCGTACACATCCTCATCCTCAACTTCACAACATTCCACACAGATACTCGACACAAATCATGTCGTTACGCTTCTCTATGCGTCCATCTCATTTCACTCCCCTTTGTCTCTCTCTCTCTCTCCCTCACTGTTTGTAGATCGATATCGTGAGTCAAATTAATACTAACGCTAACACTAATACTAATACTACTAATGAGCATTCTTCTTCTGTGTATATCCAGTTCACTCTTACAAACAGACAAATATAATCCAATGCAATTTTTTTCTGCATATCACAGATTTATTCTCATATCATTTCACACTTCACAGCTTCTTTCTTCATCGTTTTCGTCCTCACTACTGCACGCTTTGATCATCTGCTCCATTGGAATCACAATTGTGCGAACAGCATTGCGACTCTTCCACCTATGCCTGGTATGCACTTCTGCCTTCTATTAATCCACAGTCTGGAACTAACCTCATCTCGTCAATACTCAACGCTCTGATGTGTATTCATTTCATTTTCACGCGCCTCAATCACTCACTCAATGCTGACTATCTATCTATCTACCTATCTGTGTAATCATGTTTCTCTCTGTAGGTCCACCAACTGGAGGAAAGCCGAGAAGAGACTGGAGATCTCGATATGGTGAGTTTACACACACATGTAATTGCTTGTTCATCCCTTCCCATGCCCTTCTGCTCTAATTCTCTTCAATCAATTTTAATGTCTTAGAGGCAGACACATTCATTCTTCATACTGGTTTTTATTCACTCGCGTTTTGTAAATCGGAAGGATAATTCTTCATATCTGCATCATTTCACATTGTATCTCCTTTCGTTTGTTCACTGCTGTGGTATTCTGTCTACGCTGGATGAGAGGTGTCTGTCCTCTTTTGAGAGATCCATTCATGTGTCAGTTAGAATATTGTACATATTGACGGTCGTCTAGCTGAATGTTTATTCATGTGATGGCTGGTCATCAGTCAGTCATTCAGTTAGTCGGATATCAGCTACAGACAGATATTCATCTCAGTCAATCTACTAGTCAGACAGCTCACAGCCGCCCTTGTCACCTGGATATTGAGCTGTATTCAATTTGTTTCCTTTCCTCTCTGTCTATATTTCGAATTATTACTATTTCTTTTCTCCTTACGTCTCATTTCCAGGTGTGAAGAAACAGTGAGTGAAGACATGAAGTAATCTGCAACACGTGGTCTGTCAGGAAATATTCATCGCTGATTATTTGATTGTTATGGTTCATTGAATAAACTTTCCATATTACACCAACGTCTTTTTTCTCACTTTTCGTGTCAACATTACCCGCCTGTTTGTTTGTTGTTCTGTTGTCCTGGACCTAAGTGATGTTGCTTCTATATCCCACCAATTCTCGTTTCCTGGTTTACTCATTTTTCTTGCATAACGTCATTGAGATCAATGCAAATTTAATTTAAGAGATGAAGTTTCGTCAATTTTATTTATCATCCAGCCCGAGGTGTTATGCTTTAGTAGGTTTTATTTTAGTTTTAACTGATATCCGGCTGGACGTGGTGTGTCTTCATCCGTGTTACTGCTTCAGTAAGAGTCGCATCTTGTACTACCACCTTTTCGGCTGACTTTCCGTAGTTTGATTTCATCTAAGATTTCTGCTTTCAATGGAGTGTTGGTGTTATCTTCCAGGTGTGTGAGTGCTGTTGGTGGCTTTTCTGAAAGATTTGCAGGTGACAGTTGGTTGATAAGTACTTTGAAGTGATCAGTCCATTGTTCTACTTGTCTCTCCTCTCAGGAATTATGTTACTTTAGCCATCTTTTATTGGTGTCATCCTCTGAATTGATCTCTTCGCGCATAGAGACTTGGTCACCTGATTTAATGTCCTCATGTCTTATTTACCTTCAGCCAGTTCTACTCTATTCATCAACCGGTGTGTCGTTGAATAGTCTTCTGTCTTTCCTGGCACTTTTTATCGCTTCACTATTGAGTTCAGTGTGCATTGAACGTAGATTCCCCTTCTGTAGTCCATCTTTGCATTGAGTCATCTTCTCTCTCACCATTCTTCCTTATTCTTTTAGCTTTTAGGTATCAATTGAGAGCTAATCTGTATCTTACTTCTTCTTTCTTCGTAAATCTGTTTTACATACTTTCCTTGAACGTCAACCTCATAGAGTTCCAATGTTCTTCTACACAGGCGTCCTCAGTGATTCCACGTATTGTCTCCAATTGAGCTGTGATAATGTGATGTGTTAGGCAGTTTTCCTATATCATGTATGGTAATGTTATTGCCTCACATTATCTCGCTTCTGGCCAACTGCTTATGTCGTTGCACTGATCAAAATGCTCTTCATCAACTGCATCTTATTCCTCTGACTTTCATTATTGGATGAAATCCGTGAGTGATGACTTGTATTCGCGGCTGCCTCTAAGTCATTTCGAACTATCGGAGGAGATTTTCTTGAAGGAAGTGCAATAAGTATCCATCGTTTGTGTTAAATTTCTTTCTTCATGCAACCCATCGGTTGCTGACATGATTAACATTTAGAGAAGTACATTATAACTACGTCAATAAGTGCAGTTGTGCATCAGAATTCAATTCGATTTCCACTGTAAGTTACAACACAGAGAGAGATGAGTGCTACACAACAAAGTTTTCTCAAGCGAAGTTAAATTATCCTACACAATCGAAGTCAGTGTCTGTCAAAAGTTGACCTTCAAGAATCAATCAGATTTATGGGACATTATAAGCTTCCATTCCATATCATGTCATGCCTTGCCATTTTGCGAGCCGAAATAGCTCAATGGTGACGTCTCTGACTGCAGCACTGACTGACAATGGTTCGAATATCACAAGGGACACAAGTTTCTTCACGGTTATAGATACGCCTTGCTGACTGGTGATTGCCAACTAGCACGAAACCTAGGTCGAAGGCTTCCTGCCGACGGCCTCTGTGCGCCCGTGGCATAGCGTTTGAGACGCCAGCCGACCATGCACATGGTTCAAGGTTTGATCCTCGGCCGACGCACTCTTTTACATCGCTAAGCCAAAAATAATGCTGGTAAAGAATAAATTTTGGGCATGTGGCTAGCAACCCCATCCTGGAAAAATAAACGTTGCCACCAGCTAGAGTTCCTATGTTCCACTGGAAACGTGAAGGAAAAAAAATAAACGGTCATATCTCCTCATGTCACGCCTGCCTTTTGATTTTCACAAGTATGATATAATATTCTACTTATTCCGCTTTTGTCTTCCTTCACGTTCCCAGTGGAACATAGGGCTGCAAGCTACAGTCTTTAAGTTTCTGCAGCAGTGTTAACTTTTACAGGATGGGGTTGCCAGCATCATGCCCAACTTTTTTCTCTTCACCAGTCTCACTACTGGCTCAGCCAAGTAAAGGAGTGCGCCAGCCGAGGATCGAATCCTGGACCATATGCATGGTCGGCGAGCGTGATAACCGCTGTGCCATCTCTGTGTCCCTGGGTACTATAAATTTAGACTTTAAGGTCGAGTTATAGTTTTTAAAAGCTAAGGTTAGGGTCTAGGATAGAGGTGTTAGAGTTAGGATGAAATTGATGTTTAGGGATTTAGATTAAGGTCAGAGTCAGTGGTAGGTCAAATATAACAGAGTCAGAAACGCCAATCTACCTCAAAGTACCGTGATCTACAGTCACCTGACTGAATACATCTAGAATATATTGTATGCTTTCTCTATAAGCTGCTCTCTTTCTAATGACTTTGAGGCATTCCAAAAATGCATAAGTGATAATCAGCCAGTGTACTATCATGTTTAAAATGTTTTTCAGCGCATTTTTCAACGATTATGTGACTTTTTAAGTGTTGGTTCGTAGGGATTTGATTGACTAAAGGATTTCATCATGAGCTGACATCATTTGGAGAACCATTGGAAAACCTGGGAGTACTGGAAAGCTTTCTCATCCTAGTTTAGCACTCTTCAACAGTAAGCACCCACCACAGGGGGGGATCGAAACCGGAACCTTCTAGTTACAAGGAGAGCTCGTATACCATTAAGCCACTGGAACTCGATCCAATGACCGTCCCATGAATTCTAACTTTGATCTCATTAGTTTTTCTGAGAACATACCTATCCATGATGAGTTCTCTTCGTTTAGCGTCTAATCTCAGTCTGACATTCACATGATCAATGATGATTTCAACATCACCGTTTTGGATTTTATCTATTACTCTTTCCAGCTGTCTATGTAAGTCTTCATTCTTCGCTTGTTTTGAGTTGTTGTTGGTGACGTGGCGTTCAACAACTTCAACGACAATGGTTGCAGAAATAAACATAATATGGAACTGATACTTCCCGATCTTCAGTGGTACTATTTTCACTCACATACCGTACCAGCACAATGGTGACTTGCACCATTTGATTTGACACTGCTCCTCATTGTGGTGTTTGGCAGATGCTACTCATTAGGTACATAGTGCAAACAGTAGTACAGTGGGATCAAATCCAGTCTGCAGTTTCAACGATTGATGAGTCCTGAAATCCTATGCATCCAAGTTACCTAGTAATGCATGTGACTACTCCGACTTATTCCTCACTATTCCTGTCTTACACAAACACTCAGAAACATGGTCGCATTTCTTCATTTAGTATCGAAACGTTAGGATTCGAACGATTCATGTGACACTAATGTGCTACAGACGAGGCATTATTTTCGCCTGGGACCACTAAAATTACATCATTCCAGCCGAGGTCGGTGTGATCTGACTGTCTTATTAGAAGAACCCTGGATCACGAGAATATGGGAGCATGAGTGAAAATCACTGAATCGATTTTGTTGAGCGAGTTTAGTGTTCCCTTCGATAAGTGTAAAATAGAGATAAATTTCAGTG